GTGACCTTTATGTTCATCCACAGGGCAGAGATAACAGATACACTGCTGATCATTGCGGCAGAACACCTCCCTCACTTTAGTGTGTTGTGAGCAGATGTTGTCCTGGAGCTTCTTGGAGGCCCCCACCAGCTTGTGTTGCTCAAATGTAGCTGCATCATAGTGAGGCTGCAGGTGTTTCTCGCAGTAAGAGGCCAGACACACCAGACAGAACTTGAGGGCTTTCAGTTTCCTCCCAGTGCAGACATCACAGGCCACATCTTCAGCTCCAGCATAGCAGTGATCAGCAGCAGCAGCTTGGAGTCTAGTCTTCTTCAGCTCCTCCACTAAAGCTGCTAACATGGTGTTTTTCACCAGGACAGGCCTCGGTGTGAACGTCTGCCTACACTGAGGGCAGCTGTGGCTTTTCTCCTCATCTTCTTCATCCCAGAAGCTTTTAATACAGTTCATGCAGTAGCTGTCTCCACAGGGAATAGCCACCGGATCCTTCAGTAGATCCGCACAGAGGGAACAAGAGAAGGCTTCCTGGTCTTGCTGAACTCCTTTCTGCGCCATTTCACTTCTCAGTGACAACGACTGTCTGAGTTTCATTTCCTGACAAGTGAAACAAGTTTGAGCTGGTCTACACACCGTGTTTGTGCAGTGAACGAAGCCTGTCAGCTCTCCACGTCACCACATGATGGTTACACCTATCTTCAAACTATAGATCTAAGGGGGAGGGAACCAGGAAACCAAGTCCACTCACCTCATTTTAGGTATTAAATTCTATTTGTGATCTTGACAAAAATCTTGACAAACATTCTTTTGAGCCGAAGGACGTTGTCTCTGTCTTCTGCTTTCACCCACAACCCAAAGTGGCCTAGTGATAATGTTTATCCGTAGGATAATACACAAATGCAGTACTAAAACAGACTAAAGTGTATAAAATATACAATAAAAGCTAAAATCAAACACTTGTCACTGCCAAGAATTAAAAATCATCTAAGAACAAAAGAAGCAGAAAAAGGAATCTGTCTCTCTATCTGTCGGTCTGTCTTTCACAAAATGAATACAAAAAGCCACTGAATAAAAAAAGATGCTCCACTGTAGGGGGTGGGGGGCCTACTGCTGAGTTTTGGGATCTAAAGGGCAAGCACAGCATGACTTTCTGCATCAAAGACTACCTGACACTGGGTGGCGCCATGGCACACTGGGATGTAAGTTTGGTAATGTCCAGCAGTCGTCGCTAAACCTCCAGCCAAATCTCTTCGCCAAAATCTATCCCACAATCCTCACAAACCGGTGGTGTAATCATTTGAACGGTGCTACTCCGAAACGCTACTGAACCTGTATAAACAGGAGCTGTGTTTATGTTTATCCATTTTTTTCCACATTTTAGCTTTACAAACCCGAGGAGACCTCAAGATACTGCACAAAATGAATCGGTTGGTATTTAATTGTATTGTTTAAACTGTAGAAATAATCTCTGAATTACTTTTTACGAAGCCATATGTTCCCTGGAAGGCTAACCAGCTAGCTATCTTCTAATAGCGGCCCAGCTACTTTCTACGTATTTGATAGTTGAGCTATAAGCTAACAGTTAAAGCTAACTGTAGTTGTAGGTTAGCTAACTGCCGTAGGAACATGGGCTAACTTTTAGCTCAGATACGTAACGAAATACAGTGTCGTCTGTCTCATTTATAACAAGCGGAAAACATTTCACTTTAATCCACGTATGGTGACTTTAGTTGCAGTTCAGCTAGCTAACAATACTTGTGCCGTAGCAGCCAACGCCTTCAGGACGTTAGTTAGCGTTTTTGGTTGGTTTATCTCATTTGAATGTTGTCTTTTAGTCTTCGTGAACTACACTGATGTATTTTGTCACTTGCTCTAATGTTACTTTTCGTCATTTAAGTTGTTGGGTCACAAAAAGAGACCGACTTGTTACAACTTCTGACACTAACATATAATAACAATGACTGTACTATTGTTTGTCCAGCAGTGTCTCTTATTATGGCAAGTGGTAAACATGCATGGCAACAGGAAATCTTTAAGGTCAAGCAGAATAAATCCAATGGCTTTCTACGACCCTGTCTGCATCGTTCTGCTGAAAAGAACATGAAGCAGGTATGAAACCTTAGAGCAAATACTATGACTTACTGAGTAAATAATTCGTCAGTTGTCTCTTAACATCCTGGTCTCTGTGAAGTATAGTTTAGTGGTATTGTAGTAGTAGACACTGTAGTGGTGGCCTCATCCCCTATCCTTTTGTTTTAGGTGGATAATATAAATAAGGAAGAATTAGATAAAGAAAGGTGAGTCTCTGATCAATGCCTTGGGATTTATCTAAATGTGATCACTCATACTATGTCCCGCAGATCATCTCTCTCAGTCAATGGACCATTAAGGCACCTTTCCATAACCATTTTCATCATGTCTGTGGCTTTAGATGTTAAGTTTTCTAAACTTAAGAGAGCTTTGCATGTGGCCCATCTCGATATTCCTCTTGCCAGATTTCAAGTGCACTACGGAGTACACAGTCCGGGCAAAGCGAAGCGGCTCTCAGCTTGCAAGAGGAAAGGTTGTTTATTGGAGGAGGTGGGCTTTAAGCTGCACTGCAGAACATCAAATGTAGGCCGTGTCTGTGACCCCGGCATGGCTAACAAAGAAAATGAGCTGACGTGCTCTGATGATGTGCGGAGCATTCACTATAATGACAACTGTGGGCTCCCTGTGAACTTCACAGAGGCCTCTAAGATGACAGGGGCCAGCTCCAAGTACAGTGACTTCACTGAGGTGAGAGTCAGGATTAAAACAACAGTTTGTGGTAGAAATGTGCTCTTTAGTGCGCATTTGTAGTAAGAACTCAGTTCTTTTAACACTCCCATGAACTTGATAAACATTTCAACACTGTTGCAGACTGAACTCCCTTTGTGCATTGTTTGTCTCGATGTACAGCTATCAAAGGACCATGATGCTATGACTCGTGTCCTTTTTGGAAGGAATCTTCAGCTAAAAGTAGCACTAACATTGTGGCAAAGAAATGCCAGTGAATTAGTGGCTTACCTAACAAGGTAAAACCATGATGCCAATGCTGTATTTTCCATTTTCTTTACTACTTAATTTCATGAACATACTTAATTTTTTATGTGTTTGGTTTTTCAGAATTCAAGACACAGGAGTGCTGCTTGACTGCTTACCTGTCTTAACAAACAAGTGAGTCTCATCTGGGTGATGCATTTCCCTTTTGAATGGTTCAGCTTCAACCATAATGACCGGATGCCACAGTGGTGGTAATCTGTATGTAAAAAGAGCACTTATCATCATAAGTATTGTGACACGTCCTTTGTTTAAATGTAGGCCATAAGATTTAAACTTAACCACAACATCAGGCCAAAATGAGTAGTTGTAATTGCAGAAACTTATCATTTATAAAGCAAGATCCCACAGTCTTCAGTGGCCTCTTTCTTTCCTTTGTATTCACCTTTATTTGTAAATGTATCACCTATTATGAAATAACCTTGGACACTAAAAGCCATTTCTCCACAATGCAAGCAAAATTAAAGGGGAAAAAAGACCATAGATATATACACTACATGTCACATGAGCCACTTCTATTACTGCAATACATCACTGTGGCTGCCATGTTTCCAGGGCACTGTTGTGCCTTTAGGCATGATGAGAATATAAAACTACAATCTACTCGTGAACCTTGTTATCCAACAACAGTTAGCACATGAGGCTCTTCAATTCTGTCAATTTGAACACATTTTTCTGTTTTTCTTGTCTGTCTGTATTGGCAACAACCAGCTTACTATCTTTTTTTTTTTTCATCTGTTGTTCCTCCGTAGTCTTCAAGCTGAAGCACCATATTTGTCACTTGGCTGCTGTGTTGACCTCTTGCCCCAAGTGAAAGTAATTCTTGACAGCAAATATGAAGAGTAAGTGACACTGAGGAATTGCATGCATGTTTAATAATCTCTCTCTTTGACACTATATCTAGAAAAGCTAGTTTTAGTCTTGAAGATGATATGCCAGTCATCTTAGCTTTCAGCCTTTCTGATGAATAACTTTTGAACCGAAAACTTACAAAGCCTCTTGGATGTGTGGTGAAATAAATTCAAGACCGAATTATACTGTATTTTTGAAATAATAATTTCAATTGCTGATCTTATTTATCTGCTTTTTACAGACACATAGTGGTGGGTTTACACTGGGTTCAGTCTGTCATCAAGAAATGGTGGCCAGAAATTTCTACGAGTGAGAAAAGACTGCGGGACAGTTGTTCAGAAGACAGGTGGGTGCTGCATGCTTAATACAACCCTGCATGTCTTGAAGGGTAGTTACAGCTATTTTCAAACTTGACCTTGTTTTCATAGTTTTGATTAGGTAATTTAATAGGTATAGTAGGGCAGCCGTGGCTCAGGACATAGAGTGGGTCATTCCCTAATCATAGCATCAGCTGGTCTTCGGCAAGACGCTGAATGTCAAGTTGCTCCCAGTGATATCACTGGGGTGTCAGTGTGTGAATGAGCAAATGAGTGAATGGGCAAATAGAAAAGTGCTATACAAGTATAATAAGAGACGCTCCAAACAGGTATCACCAACATCTGACATGTTAAGCTCCAAAGTCAGCATGGTGTTACGCAGTTTGAACACTGAGACAGACACTGACTTATTCACTAGAAGATACTGTGTCCGTCAACTCAAATATTTGTCTTGCAATGCTTTCTCATTAGAGATGAGAGTGTACTGCCACTGAGTTTACTGTGTACTTGAGTTTGTAAATAAAGGTTTTCAACAAGTTCAGTAAAAAGATAGTCATACACAGCTTCGACTACGTGTGAACTTGTACTCTTAAGGTCCGGTGCAGGAGAGAGGATGGGTTGGGGTTTCTGTAGTCAGCCTGTGGGGTCCCTTGTGCACTCACCACATGCTGTGATGGTTATGTTTGTTCACTGCAGGAATATTGAAGTCATGAGGCAGCGGCTGAAGGACTTATGGAAGGAAGCGGTGCAGCTATGTTCGGTTCCAGGATCTACAGGAGAACTGGCAAAGGTGGGAAGTATTAGGTTTTAAAATTCCATTTAGCAGCTTACCCTGGGTTGCTTGTTTGAAGATATCAAATGATATGTGCTTGTTCTGTTTTTTTTAATTATTTTTTTTAACTAAACCACGCATCTTGTCTTGTGAAGTTAAGTCAGCACCTCGGTGCTAACTTCAACTGTTTGCTGTATTGTGGTTGTTTCATTTGATTCCATTTTCAGGTCATGTTATGAAATACATGAAACCACAAAAGAATATTAGGATCTCCATTTCATGAGACCTTTCAAAAGACAATACATTTACTAAATTCTGAGTTTTATGCAATAGTTACAGAAAGTTAAATTAATATTGTTTATATTAAGTATTTAGTGTACCAACACCTAGCTTTGTGTGTTAATGGGTATGTGAATTGTGATTTATTCATTGTATTAATATGTTTAAAAAATGTATTTGAATGTATGCAGATTGTTTTGCTGATTAACAACAGCTAAAATATTATCTCTACTTCATGTTGCAGTCCATCGAGGCTTATCTTTCACGGCTGCCCTGACAGTTGTCACTGTAGCACTCAGAGGATGTAACCACTACTGCAGGATCATGGCTGTTTCGAATTGATAATGATACCAGACAAAAGAACTGGTTGATTCTGCTACATAAACTCAGACCTCTTAACTGGGACTGAACTTGACAATTCAGATAACTTCCTCAGTTAGAGCTGGAGACTCTTAAGGAGAGCCGTTCTGCACAAACACACAGAAAATGACTGCTTCACATTGAAGTGGACCATTTTGCGAAGGGGCATATTTAGTGGACATTCGTGAGAGTGGGTGTCGCTCTGTGAAGTGCCAAGCTCTTTCTCTCTCACTACATCACTCTGCCAAAAATGCTAATGCATGTGGATGGAATGAATGATCACTGTGTTGTTGTTTTGCACCTGGATTCTCTGGAACCAGGAACTTGAACAGTCTTAAGTTATTGGAACTTGATTTCTTGTTTTCATTTTTCCCCTTCATTTGACATTTGACTCTAATGTAAAATGTTAAAACAGGCAGTTATTTTTAATCTTTTAAATAAATTTGATAAAAATCATTACCTGATGTTTGCATTTTATTTTTTAAAGTGAATAAATAAAAACAATACACATACAAAAAAACTGCTGTGGAATTGTTTAGTTATGCAAAGTGTCAATGTGTTTTAACCCCCTTGTTTGTAGCTTTTACGTTTTTTTTTTGTCAAAGCTTTAACTGAAATATTTTCATTTATTTGTTTGAATTCCATTTCAAGTTAAGATTACAGTGATGGCTTGTTAAATGGGATCAACGAATTATAAAAGGTTTTTAAAGACCAAAGTTCTCTCAAAAAGGTCTTGGAAAGCATTAAAAAGGATTACAACTAATTCACAAAGGTCTTTATTATGTATAGTATTTGTTCTTACTCTGCTGTACAATTGATACGGTATCAATTGTGACTGCTTAAAAAAAAGCTGACTGCTGCGACAGCGGATTGTGCATGCAGCAACGTTTTTGATGATAATTAAAGTTATTGGGGGCTCTTTTTTTAATTTTGTTAATTCGTCAATATCCTGCCACTTTTCTGGGGTAGGTCCCACTGATTGATTATATTACCCATTTATTAAATATTTACAACTGACATTAGCGGAGCGCTATTGTCTGGGCAATAAAGTTTTGGCTGTTTTGAGTGTGACGTCATTTTCCGCAGAGCAAGCTGAACTGATGTGTCTAGTCTTCCGCTCCTCCAAATTGTTCTCGAATACATAAATCTTGATACACATACAGTTAGAAGGGATTTTATTCTAGCAAAAACAGACGGTATGTCGTACACGATAAGAATACAGCTGTTAGGACTTTTCGTGCAGGTTGCGGTCGTCGTGGTGTGCTGTTTCACTGACATAGAAACGGGGCCTGGCGCAAGTGTATCGTTACAGACGAATGGAGACCGGTTTAAAATCGAGGGAAGAGCAATAGTCCCGGGGGTGAAAACACAAGATTGGGTCTCCGCTGCCCGAGTTCTGGTGGAAGGTGAAGAATACGTGGGATTTTTGAGGTAAGAAATAGCTACGGTTATACTCGCTAGATAACTAGCTTGTTAGCTAGGGATTAGCATAGCCAGCTAGCCTAAACAGTTGGATGAAATGCTAATGTGGCTAATCGTACAGAAGCTGCTGTTAGCCGTTGGTTGATCCTAACTGTCCAAGCTAATTTGCAGCTTAATAATTGTACATATAATTTATGACAACCAGGACAATAACATGACTTCAAGACTGTCCTGTCACTGAACTTTGCTTTAATTTCACGGTGAACTTGGGCCTTTTAGTTTCGTAGTAACTCTGGTTACAATATAACCAAAACAAACGTCGCCCACACGGGACCTGACGTTGCGGTTTATTCACGCCTAATGCAGATAGTTCGCAGTGAAACCAAACATTTCCCACAAACATTTTCATACTATTGATATGTGGTGTGAATTCATAAATAAATTTTGATTTATTGTCCAACCCTGGAAATTGATTTGTTGGAGGTGATGTATAAATACAGACACTAACTCAAACATACAAAATAAACCAAAAGGGACATTAATCAAAGCAGTTACAGGAACAGCAAGGATGTGTAACAACTCAGGATGCTTTTCTGTCCTACACACAAATGTTGTAGTAGTGACCATAATATAAAATTAAACAAGCTATAATAATGACTTTAAAATTTAAGTATGTTGTGTTTGCATTCATTGTCTCTTGAGTGTTATTACTTTCCTGGACATAATAGCAACATATTCTGTATGTATGCATGTTTTATGATATATTATAATGCTTTTACAGGCTAAGTAGTACACTTACCTGTTGTTCTACTGGGGGACTTCAGCGCCCACATGGGCAGTGACAGTGACACCTGGAGGGGCGTGATTGGGAGGAACGCCCCCCCAATCTGAACCCGAGTGGTGTTTTGTTATTGGACTTCTGTGCTAGTCACAGTTTGTCCATAATGAACACCATGTTCAAGCATAAGGGTGTCCATCAGTGCACATGGCACCAGGACACCCTAGGCCGGAGGTCGATGATCGACTTTGTGGTTGTTTCATCTGACCTCCGGCCGTATGTCTTGGACACTCGGGTGAAGAGAGGGGCGGAGCTGTCAACTGATCACCACCTGGTGGTGAGCTGGATCCGATGGCGGGGGAGGAAGCTGGACAGACTCGGCAGACCCAAACGTATTGTGAGGGTCTGTTGGGAACGTTTAGCAGAATCCCCTGTCAGAGAGATCTTCAACTCCCGCCTCCGGCAGAGCTTTGACCAGATCCCGAGGGAGGCTGGAGATATCGAGTCCGAGTGGACCATATTGTCCAACTCCATTGCCGATGTGGCCGTTTGGAGCTGTGGCCGTAAGGTCTCCGGTG